TACAGTGCCTTGTACACAAAAAAAAACCACAATAAAAATATTTAATATTTTAACATGGAAATGTGATTACATGTGAAAAATTATAGAAATAACTTCAAATCTCAAAGGGTAATTCAAGTAAATATTTTACATTTGAGGGGTAGGCTACAGCTGACCAAAAAGTGTGGCAACCCCTGCACTAGAGGGTAAATCACCAATATTTATTTCCCAGCCATTTATATGTCTAAAAATCTCACCTAAACCATTAATCCAATTACTGAATGATACGATGTAAACACTTACTTCTTGTGAGTCAAAAAATGGTTTTGTGAGAAGGGTCTCCAGGTGTTGGAAATGTGATTACATGTGAAAAATTATAGAAATAACTTCAAATCTCAAAGGGTAATTCAAGTAAATATTTTACATTTGAGGGGTAGGCTACAGCTGACCAAAAAGTGTGGCAACCCCTGCACTAGAGGGTAAATCACCAATATTTATTTCCCAGCCATTTATATGTCTAAAAATCTCACCTAAACCATTAATCCAATTACTGAATGATACGATTTAAACACTTACTTCTTGTGAGTCAAAAAATGGATTTGTGAGAAGGGTCTCCAGGTGTGAGTAGCGCTCAGGTTGAGTGTGCTTCAGCATGATCATGGGGTCGGTTTGCTTTAGTAAACATTGAGCAGCTCCCAGCTCACCCAACTCAACCAACTCCAGCACAATCTACACATACAACCAGACTTCACTCGGTTCATTAGGAAAGCAGTATGAACACAACCTGAATAGTATAGCCTGCATAAAGACAATTTCTGCACTTGAGATATGCATGAAAGTGATTGAATTGTTATGACACTTTTATGACTAATTTTACCTGTTCGTACAGGTCAATGAGCAGCTTGTCAGGAAGTTTCAGATACTGGATTGCTAGCAGCACTATATCCCATTGCCCGTTGTTGATATCATTGTTGAAGCTTTCGATGCTGTCGACTGTGTGGAGCGAGACTGCTGTCTCCTCTTGAAGCATCGCCAGAGTGCGATGCAAATTATTTTCCTTCAGGTATTGCATGATCAGACGAATCACGCTGCAAAAAAGTGACCGGCGCCGTTAATACGAGATGTCACCTGAACTTTACGAAAACGGTATCTGTATTTCACTGCAGGGTTTAATCGACATTACTTTTACTAGCTGTTGGGGTTGTGAAAAAAATGTCCTTAACTAAATATGCTGAGAATTATTTAATTATTAAATTCTACTCCAAACTTTAGTTTAGCGCAGTGACTGATGAATGTTTATTGTATTCCCGATATCATCCAGTTTGTGCTATTGCAAAAATGATTCCAAATCACAAGCTTCGTTAGGTGTATCCGTCCATAATAAAACATTTGTATTCCGTTTCTTTTTCTGGAACTATAAGATCATTAAATGTAGTAATGGTTAGAATCATATCCATTCCATTAGAAGTGAATAACGCTTTACTTACTCTGCTGATTCCACTTCAAGGTCCATGGCTGCGAGGTTGTCGATGAAATCGGCGTCTAGATATATTGTGCGAGCCTTCGCCAGCGCTGCGTTGTGTGGTCCTCAGCCACGTGAACACCGTGACCGCCCAATACATTGTATTGTACGTTGTATTTATTGCTCTCACGTCTGATATCATGGTAACCTTTCACAAATTGTTGCGGATTTTTGGATTTGTTTTAATGACACGTCTGGAGAAATTAATGGGGAAAACCCCCCTTAACGTTGCCATAAGGTGCCGAGAGACCGAGCAGGCAGATGGTGCATCAAAGCCATAAATAGCTGATGTATTATAAGCAGCACAATATGGTTCAATAAATCATCATTTATAAGGAGCAAATACGCAACTGTACAGACGCTCATCATCTTTAACATAATATATAAAGACTTTGTATTTTAGCAATCATCAAATGCCATTATCCATTTTTGCAATAGAATACAGAAGAATCTATTTAGAATACAGAACACATCACAGGTGTCGCACCCCAGCATGGGTCTGTGATGGCAAGCCGTATTAACATAGTATCTGTTATGTTACTAATAACAGCCTACTTATTTTTCAGTTACTACTACGTCATTCAGTTGTGACTAGTCTTTTTCACTTTAACTATTTATTAGAGCTACTAGTTATTCCAATTGTCTATTATCTATTCAAGTAGATGTTACTACTTGTTGCTTTCCTTTCCAAATTTAGGAATCTGCGGTTTTGATTACTTGCGTTTAGCTTATAGTTTTACTATTACAAACACACCTGCAACACTAGTATCAAATAAGATAGTTACTGGTAAAACTGTAATATACATCAGCAACAATTGTAATTCACTCTAGTCAGAAATGTTTACATCTGAACCAGATAACTATGCACTGAATTCAGTGGCAAATAACTACGTGTCATTAAGGTTATGACTACTAGTACACATATATATATATATAGTTAGTATACAGCATTAAATGTTAAATGGCCTTCCATGTCTCTAGTGCCCACATTCGTTAGTATGAACGCATTGCCCCCTCTGGTCGCACGGAGAATAAATTTACTCTGCCAGACATCATAGTGAAAACAGAAAAGCGTAAACATTATTTTACGGGTATTGGACATATCAGAATTATTGACCAGAAAAACATTTCTACATGCATGAGCATTCAGAAAGTTTTTTTCTTAGTGTTGGAGTTTGAATAGTTAAATTTTTTGACATTTTGTTCATCTAGACTAGAACTTTATCATAATCCTCGCATGAACCCCATTGAGAATTATGCTTCATTTAAACTTGCTGATTAAAAAGGGTAGACACTTGACCAAAGTCATCTTGATCGCCAAACCTCAATGTCATACCTCAAAGTTAGGGTTGCAAAATAAAATGTAGAATGGCCAAAATAAACAGACTAACAAAATTCAACTTGTTACAAACGTACCACCTTACGGAGTAATGAAAAAAGACACCATTTAGAACATTCAACAAAATCATGTTTTATTTGTGAGGCACATGTCTCACTTCTGGCTTGACTCTGACTTGGATGTGGAGGCTCTTAGAGAGGAGAGACGGCGTCTCTTGGCAACCTTTTCTTGACGTTTCTCTTTGGCCTCCTATAAAAAAAAAAAAGAACATTGATATTCAGCTTTTACAACATTTAATTTACACGTGTGCTTTTTCAGTAATAATGAATCAATTGAGGCATTTCTTTTTCAGAGGTCAACAGAACACTTTATTCATACACATAGCCAGGTTAAATTGTAGGAAGACACCCTCATTTAGAATCATCACTAAACAGCCACGTACCTTCATCCTCTTGGCCAGCAGTTTGGTGTATTCTGCGGCTTCCTCCTTGTTCTTCAGTGTGCGCTGCTTCTTGAGAGCAATGCGCCTGCGCTTGTGCTGCAGCACACGGGGTGTAACCAGGCGCTGAATCTTAGGGGCCTTAGTCCTGGGCTTCTTACCTGTCAGAAAGAGCATGGTCAGTCTCTGGATACATTTAAAACCCTTCTGGTCCATAGCTTTAGTAATAAACAGAGGTGGGGGCAAGTCACACATGTTCAAGTCTCAAGTCCCTACCATCAAGTCTCAAGTCACAGTACAAACAAATCAAGCAAGTCAAGTCAAGTCAGTGGCTCACCTCAAGCAAGTCAAGTCGAGTCCTGCTAAGGATCAAGTCAAGTCACAGTATCAAACAGGAACAAATATTTTTTTGCCACACGACCTTATTAATTTTTCCTCAGAAATTAACTTAATTATACATTTTAAATAATAATGTTTTAAATATAACATTTTGAATATAGGCAAAATACTACTTTGTATACCGCTAAAGTCTGTAATTGAGAAAATATTGATAAAAATACAAGATAAAAATATGTATCTCATATTTATGTTATATTGAGTTTGACCATCCTAGGAGACAGATAATATTTAACAGATGTTGGAAAATTATTTTGCACTAAATATATCCAGCGAAGACTGGGATTCAGTCTGGGAGCACGCTAAATAATATGCAATGCTGACTACAAATCACCCCTTATATCAGAAATAAAATGGACCCAAAATTTTCATCGGATATAGACACCCTATTTGGATTGTTTCTTTCACTTTGCATGACATTGTTCCATGCCTACATTGTTCTTGAAAACGATTGTCATGGCTCAAAACAAGAAGCCTATTGCTGTTAATGTGCATGTATCTTCCCCTGTAACTTATTGATTTCTTTGATTTTATAATAAGAACTAAATTGACAGCTATGCATTTAAGGCTATGATAGACTGGTTCAGTGGCTTGTGTTTTGTTTACCAAATTATGTCGCAATGATTTATAATAATAATTAGAGTTGTTATAAAGTCAAGTCCTGCCGAGTCATGAAGGTCAAATCAAGTCAAGTCTCAAGTCACTGGATCTCAAGTCCAAGTCAAGTCAAGTAATTTTCTTTATTTAGTCAAGCAAGTCACAAGTCCTTAAATTTGCGACTCGAGTCAAGTCATGTGACTCGAGTCCCCACCTAATAAATTAGATGCAGGCAATCTAATCTAGTTGAAATGATTCATTGAATACAAGCTGAGAAGCCACTTGTGACAGTACAAACAGCAGAATATAAGCACTGCATTAAAGACCTGGGTGCAAAGCATGCGAGGGCCCAATTATTTATGTACAACAAATCTGAAAAGCCTGTATTTCCAAACAAAACATCACTCTAGAACGTTTTCCCTCCAGCTTTTATTATTTATAAATAGAAAGTGCCGTATCTCCAAAAGTTAACTCAAATTAATTTGGACAACTTTTAATGAATGTAAACCCAACAGGACATTTGCATAAAGACCCTATCCTAGTTCTGTTAACAATGCACTGGAGAAAGTTTGACAGAGCAATTCAGTACAACCAGTCACTAATAATATGAATGGGGTTGTTATCCGGTTAACAGCTCCACTGTTGCTGTTGGCACTACATTAACCCCCCTTTTAAGCATCTGATTAGCCAAAAAGGGCCTTCGGGTGTGCCTCAAAAATAATGCATACCTTTCATGCATATTTTTTAAAAAATAATTATAAAAAATATAGCTCTTTAAGCAACCAGTAACAAACCTATTGACTTAATATTCAAGATAGCAGGCTCAGTCTCATGATTAAATAATACCTTCTTTAGTGAGTGGTCTCCTGACCACATACTGCCTGACATCATCCTCTTTGGACAGGTTGAAGAGCTTACGGATCCTGCTAGCCCTCTTGGGTCCCAGGCGGCGGGGGACAGTGCTATCAGTCAGCCCAGGAATGTCCTTCTCACCTGAAGGAAAGAGGGGAAAATCTATCAAACAGATGCTGCGGAACAGGCCACTTGTGGGGTAGACGGTCAAGATACCGGCTTCTAGGGATGGAACGATTTCCGTTTTGATAAATCATGATAAAATTCCCCACGGTTAGTATTACCTTTTCATATTTTAATTATCATTAAAACCGTATTCGATTACTGTGATTTGAACAACTGGATAAATAAATACCATCCAGCATAAAGCATTGTTTTAAAGGGTTAGTTCACCCAAAAATGAAAATTAGCCCATAAATTACTCACCCTCAAGTCATCCTAGGTGTATATGACTTTCTTCTTTCAGACGAATCCAGTCGGAGTTATATTAAAAATGGTCTTTGATCTTTCAAGCTGTTTAATGCCACTCAGCAGGTGTTGCAAGCATCAGTCCAAAATAAGTTAAATAAAAAGCACCCATCCATAAAAAAATGTCTCACACTGCTCCGGGGGGTGAACAAAGGCCTCCTCTAGCTAATCCATGCGTTTTTGTAAGAAAAATATCCATATTCAAAACGTAACAATCACTTTAATCTAGCTTGCGCTCACTGTTGTACAC